GTTATAAATTCCAAAACATTGGGACTGTAGATTTGTAACGAGTAGACTGGAATAAATTGAATGTTACAAAAAGATTATAGGAATCTGGCTCAGTATGCAAAAGGCTTTTAATAAAAGAATGAAATGGGGTTAGAAAGAAGAAGAAAAGATGTGTGGTTTGATTACAGGGTGGAAAATAAGTTAACAGAAGACAAATACTGACAGATTATATTGTAAGAAAAAATACCAAATCATAGCTGGAATAATCTACCTATAGATAATGTAAGGAACTGTGATAGGCTAATATTTTGTTTGGCATATTAATAAGTTGCGGGGGTACTTTACTCAATGATTCAGCAAATGCTCCAGTTTTGTGGATGTGGCACTGGATGTACTATATTTTTGTGGCATTATCACTTATGTTTGGAGCATAGCCATTTGCAATGAATATAAAAGTCTCATTTTCTATTTTTGCCATATACATATATAGTTATTTATGGGAAGCTTGATAAATTGCATGAATCCTACATTTGTTTACCAAAACAAGCCATTATGCAAAAAAAGAAAAGCCAGCTTCACCCTGCAGTATTCCATAGAACAAGTCTAACTTTTCTCCACTCTGGTGATCTAGTTTGACTGATGCAATGATGTTTTCAAAATCCAAGAGGGTCTGAAAACAGGCTTCTGCTTTAGTTGTGTTGCTTTCTTTGGGATGCTACTTTGGCTTTCACAAAAAAGATTCTTACAGTGACCCTGAATGCTACCTGCAGGATTCTGCTTTACCTTTTAGTGGCCTGGATATGCTACTTGAATATTTCTGTAAAGTTCCAAGCTTCTTATAATGACCTTTATACACATCTTCAACTAACTTACAGGAAATTTTCCATTTATCTGAATGCCATCTTTCCTGTTGGCTGATTTGACAAATCCTTTGGCCTTTCACTGTGATTCCCTCCATTTCCTTTCTCATTCAGAGCACTCCAAGGATGGTTCCCTTAGCTGTGTATCTCCCTTTTCTGAAACTCCTTATGCTACTGCGTTGAAATATTGGACCTATCACTGTGCTTTCCTTCCATGGAGTGGTGTGTTGTTTTGATCCTTTTTCCAGATATATGAACTAGAGTCTAGACTACCTTTTAATAGATTATATGGGGTTGTTTCATACACCTCATTGGAAGTCTACGCACTGATGTTGTGGAAATGAATATACAAGAGCAGTATATGTACACAATACATGTTATAAGATACAAGTACAAAACATGGAGTTAAATCTGGCTTCTTATGACTGTATCATGTATTGTAGCAGGTTGTTCTTCAACATTTGATTTTCAAAGAATTCTTTATCGGGTCCACAGAGAGAAAATAGGATTAAAGAAGTAAAATGCTTGCCTTTTGTGAAACAAAAAAAAAAATCTTTATTGCTCAGAACAAGTAACTTGTAAGGCTAAGTTCCAAAATGGCAGTAGTACACCTTTGTTAATAGACATCTTACAAAATATCCAGCACATGTAACTTAAGGCATTCTAGATAAAATTCTGATAAGCCAGAAATCTGCTCTTCATTCTATCACCCAAATCTTTTTCTGTTCTTTATAGTTCTAACTTTATCTCAGCTCCTTGTCTCTGAATGTGCTTGCTTTCTGTCCAGTTGAAAGACCTTCATCCATCACTTTTCTCATTTTTCTTGTTTCCTCCCCCTTTTTTTCCAGTGCTGTGCTTCACTGTTCTGGGTGAAAATAGAAGGTCATAAAAGCACCAGTGCACCTTGAACCCTAGTGGTGCTGCTTGTAGTTTCATTGTCTTATCATTGGTATAGATTTTCCAGCAAACTGTTGGCCTAAATGCAGCTGGCCCTTAATCCTGTTCTGGCACTAGGGTTTTTGATATATTTCGCACTTTAACCCCTAGAAGCCATTTCTTCTGCTAATAATACTATAGCAAGAAGCTGCTTTAGGAACACAGTGTGGATGCTTTCTTTTATAGCCCTAACCCTCTGTATCCAAAGCATTAATGCCTTCATATTTAGTATAGAGTATAATATACTCCAGGTAGTGGGTAAGAGCACTTAGGCCATAGCTCTTAGTAGTGTGAGCCCCCTACTCCCAACCAATTTTTTTTTAAAGTGATGTGCAACATTTAAACCTTTTTTTTTTAAGTGAAAAGACATTCAAATGACCTTAGGGACATGGCCAGTATATTGTTTTTCCTCTGCCCACTGATGATTCAATGTATATTTTTGATGTACCATATAAATAAAAATAAATATATATATACACACACATACACACACATATATATTATTAAAAATGTTGAAATAAAAGTAAAAATATTTTGATAATCAAATTTACTTGATCTCCTGTGTTGCTTGATTGATAAACTCAAATTGTTGGGCTACAGATGTGTTAGATTCAAGTCAATTTTCGACCATGGGAGTTCACTGAGGGAGTTTGGGCCAGTCACATTCAGCCCAAAAGGCCACTGTTTTAGGGAAAATTAGGGAAGGGTGGTCCATAAATAGCCTTGAACTACTGGGTGAAAGGACATAAATTAAACATTTTAATAAAAGGAAACAGCTGTCAGTTCTATTGACATGGTAATGGATGATGTGATATATCTGCAGTTCATTTGCAGGTTGTATTGGACTGCAAGTTAAAATGCCTTGGGAACTTTTTAATTTCTTCAGTTAATGCAGTGAATCCATTATTACTACTAGGAGTCTATTATATGATTACAGCAGTGTACAAATTTGATCAATGACAATTAATTTCAGAGCTGGTATCTGTCACAAAAGGTCCAAGAGAAGTATCTTTATACAATGTACACAAGGCTCTTGAACCAATACTTGACTAAAAGAATACTGTAGCGATAAAGGCCTAGTCTGTACAAATCTTAGATTAGATAAATGAAATTATTCTTGGGTTACACCATTAAAATTGTACCTAAAATCTCTCGGGCTGTTGAAAAATAGTTATAATGAGGGATTCTCCACTAAGATCCTTTTCATCCCAGTTTTATTGGTTTAGTGACTTCTTGGTGGTGGTGGTGGGAATAGATCTTTATTATGAGCCACTTACACGTCCAGCTGAGGCATGCTTTATTGAATGCAATACATTTTGTTGTATTTGCACAACACATGCAATCCAAACCAGACTTTGGCTTACTGCAACAAAAAATACAACCATAGATTAAAAACATAAAGGTTAAGCTATATAGCTAAAAGTATATAGGCAAAGACAGTTTTCCTCTGAATTCTCTTCTAGATGTTGCATTTCCTCACAGTTAAGAGTCAGTGGGAAAGAACTGACTTATCCATGCAGTAGAAATTCTATACAATCTCTTTGCAATGAACGAAATATAGAATATGTTGACAACTCCCACTTATTTCTAGTAGCCTTGTTTAGGATAGTTTTTGAATGCACTGCTCTATTTAAACATGTAAATAAATACCAGGGAAGAAAGTTCCAAAACAGTTCCGCCTAGCCCAAACCAAGTTGTTTTACCATACAAAGAACTTAGTCTATTGAACCCAGGCCTTGGAGCTAAGGTAGTTTGGAGTTCTTTTTAGATCTGTATAGATAACAGCCAATGAACGTTCTTACCAAAGGAATACATTGCTGGCCAATACGCTCGCCAATGTCTGGTCTCATCAGTTTACTACATTTAGTTTCTATAAGCTCAGATCTGTATTTTCCAGAGTTCTTGATGATCTCCTTGTGGTCTTTGTTTAAGTTTGCAATTGATGATCATTATACCTCTTACAGAATAGAACATCATATCCCCTACATGCCATCTTTGACCTTCTAGAGGCACTAAGAGAAGATAAACATGCAGAGGTATTCTTGCTATGTGCTCACACAAATACATGCCAGCTGAGCTTTCTATAAACTAACTTGGCACACAAACAACATGTTGCTTCAGCCAACTTATTTTTTAATTGCAGCATGTGTTTGTAAGTGAGAAATGGTAGTTGGAAGGGAAGCATGTTAGTTCTTTATTTGGCTCTTAATTATTTCCCCTCTAGACACAAACATATTTTTCGCAGTCTGGCTCTTCAATCAGAAATTAGTTGCAAGAATTAAAATGTTATGAAAGAAAATAGGTAATAAAGGGGAAGATAAAGTATCTTCCACTGCCCCTTTATTTCCTTCTACAACGTCTCTATACAAATTAATTTATTCTCATGGTTTCTCTATGAACATTTAGCAACAACGAGGTAAGTTACATTAATATGATGGGCATTACTTCAGAATATAGTACAAGTACTCCTCAATTTATAACCATTCATTTAGTGATTGTTTGAAAGTACAACAGGCTGAGAAAAGTGATTTATGACCATTTTTCACATTTATCATTACTGCAGCATTCCCAGCCACGTGATCAGAATTTGGACAGTCTCATATATTTATGAGGATTGCAATGTCGTGGGGTCACATGATCATCTTTTGAGACCTTCTAATAAAGCCAATGGGGAAGCCAGGGTCACTTAAATGTGTTACTAACTTAACTGCAGTGATTCATTTAACTGCAGCAAGAAAAAAATATAAAATGGGGCAAAATTCATTTAACTGTACTGCTTAGCAACATAATTTTTGGTCTCAATTGTGGTTATAAGTTGAGGACTACCTGTATTGTACTGCAACACCATTTTAATTCTTATAGACATTTTTAATATTCATTTTGCAAAATACATAAGATTTTTTTTTAAAGGATTGTTTCATAAAGACCTTAAATGGAAAATAATTATCTTTGAATTTTTCAACAAATATTTTGCCTATAATCATAACTTTATTAAACTAATTACAATGCCATTTTTGTCCAATTTCAATCTTTCTGTTTAAATCCTTCCCAATCCTCCCTCCCAAATCTATTGGAAAAACTGAAAAAATAGTTATATTCACATTGATGCTGGAAAAGCTAAAATATACTTTATTTATTTATTGGTGTCATCTATTCTGACTGGATTGTGTTCTGTATTGTATTCAATAAAAGTTGATATTACACAAACAATTCAGAGCAGTGTAGAATCTGTTTTTAATCTGCATTTCAAGAATTCATAAGCAACTAACATAGAAATAATTTCTCAATGCATTTAATCTTATTCTGAGTTGAATCCATTTTATCATGATATCAATTATATGAGTTGTTACATCCATTATCCAGATCAGGAACACAAGGTCACAGTGTTTGGAAAAGACATTCACAAAACAAAATCAAATCCAGATCAAGTTAATGATGCATAAAAGATCACTTAAAAATTATTACCCCCAATGTGCTTTTCTAAACTTTCTATTTCCTCTTCTCCACAAATTGGTCTCCTTATAAAAGTACAGTTGGCTTCTAAAAAAAAAAACATTCTAGAATCTGCTAATTCAGGAACATGGAAGATGGTGGAATAACTTGGCCAGGAAGGCTTCAATACCGACTGAAGGAATGTTCCATTCTTCCTCACGTTGCTATATCCATGACCCATCCCCCACTTTTCCACAACCTAACATATTTCTGGGAAGGCTGGGATATTTCTACTACACCACCCTTCAGGTTTCAAATCAAGAATACAACTTAGTACTCCTAACAGCTATTTTCAGATTTAAAATGTGGAGTCTTTAAACAGTAAAAAAAAAAAATGGTTTGAGTAAAAGAATATTAAAAATCCAACCTTTAATGCAGTATATTGACCATTTAATATACTAGGTACTGAACATATACAGGTACTATCTGCTTGATATTTTTTTCTTATTAAAATAATAAGTTCTACACTCTTGTTTTGGATATGGAAAATTCTTTCTACCAAAACAAAAACAAATGATATAGAGACTGCAGGAACAAAAGAGGTGCCTTATATGGTATCTGCTACTGGTTTCTGCTCTGTGGCAAGGCCAGCCTTGCCCTACATGCGTACATTTTTACCAGCAATAGTGGTCCAACAACTGGGTTTCATCCATCCACAGAACCACTGCTTTTGTTCTTGCGGCTGAGCGGGAACGTGGACTTGCTCTGTGGCTGTGTCATTTTGCTGGCTAAGTAGACAAAGGGGTCAATGAGACTCCGACGGTCAGCAACTGAGGTTTCCCACAGTTTTACTTTCTCCGTCTTTGCCCAGTGTTGGGCTATATCATGGTCCACACGGCGTTGATCCTGCAAATCACATTTGTTGCCTAAAACCACAATAGTCACCTATGAAGATTGGAGGGGAGAGAAAAAAAAATCTAGCTAGTACAACGTCAAATGCACAAAAACCTCCAAATCCCAGGATGCTCTTATATAAATTTTTATTAAAGCATAAGAACTATCAAAGAGTAATACAAAGTAAAGAAAGAAAAGAAAAAAGGACAAAAGAAGCAAAAAGAAAAAGTAAAAAGAAATTTTAAAAAGCTTCCAATTTCCTTTGCACCAGATACAAATATGACCACATAATTATTTTTTTACTCTATGATTAATAAAAATGTTCTATTATGTAATTTTTTTTTCATAATGAAAACCTTAATCAAAAGCTCACTTTTTCTGTTTCATGGAAAAATCAATAAGCGGTTTTTGAGACAATAAGTGTAGATGTTATCTTTTCTCTAATCAAGGTGGTCAATTTAATCTTAGCTGCAAGTTCCATCATTTTCACCATCCATTCCTCCATTGTGAATTGAATCCCAAGATGCTCATGACATGGTGGAACAAGGCCACCCGGGATATTGAGTCAAGGGAAAGCATTTTCCCCCCTTCAGACATTGATTTGTCAGCTAAAGGTTGCTTCTAGAAAGGGTCTTTCAGTGCACTTGAAAACAATCCCAGCATGCTTACTGGTGGCATACATGCCTTTTTTTTTTATAAAAATGTCATTCCTGTTCTTAGTGCCTGCCACCCAAATTGTCTGCTTCAGGGTCCTTCCATTTATACCCTTCTCTGAGAGACTCATCCTTGGCAACTGTACCATTTAGCTGACCTTGGTGGGTTTAAGAAAGTTAAGCAAGGTTGGAACTAGTTAATGTTTGGGTGGGAAACCACTAGAAATTCCCAGGGTTGTGCATTCGACTGAGAATGCAAAAAGGAAAGAAAAAAGAAAAAGGATTCCATGAAAATACAATAGCAAATTATTTCCGCTTTATTTGCTGAGCTTGACCAAACAGAAACTTACACCAACATCACAGATCTTGTGACAGGAGAGATTATTAACTTCTAATTATCTGGCTTGATAAAAAGGGGCCAGGGGCCAAGAGCTTCTAATGATGGGTGGAAACTGTAGTTTCTGGAGTTGGGGTCCCACTCCCAGGAAATTATTAAGCTGCCAAAAAAAACAACCACACCGCAGGTAGTAGTCTTTTAATGGCCACATTTGAGATCAGCAATGGAAGTATTAAGCCAAGTGGTCACTACATGAAAATTCTGCTAATTTCACCTTTCCTTTGCTTTACAGACCTAGGAATGTAATAAATAATTGGTCACAAAGTTATTTTTTCAGCATTATTATAACTGAACAATCATTGTCCAGGTCAACTGGTAAACGAGTACTTGTACCTTTTCTAGGCAGAAAAATAAATTAAGATGTTTGATCGATATAACCCTCTAAAGAGAATAAGCACAGTATATCTTCTATAACTTAAATATATAATATTTTTGAGAAATAAAGATGTAACTATTATACAACAATTGTTTCTCCTAAAAAATGAAAGATGTAATGGTACCTTGGAACACTGGACCAAGAGATGCTGATATCAGGCCCCAAGCCCAAGAATGACAAATAGTGATTCTTCTAAGCTGAGTTATTTATGGTTTCCACATCTACAGGCAGAATCTTGCCAGGTTGAGGACTCTACTACTTGCATCTACCATATGTTCTGAGAATTATTAGGGAGAGACTACCTTCACCCCCTATCTCTCACACAAAATACCTGTCTTTTATTCCTCTGGAATGGTCTCCTCCCTCTTGGGAATCCACCCTACTACACTCCATCAAAGCTGCTTAGGGAACAAGAGTCTCAAGAGGACCCTCCCTAAGTCATTAAGCTGTAGGTGATGGCAGAAGAAATACTTTTCAGATTTTCAAGATTCAGTTAGCATAGCTTTAGAATAAAATATAATTAGCTCATTTTACCATGATTCCTACTACCTGGTAAAGCTATCAAAGACAGAAGAAAGACATAAATACACACATCAAAGACACTGTGCTACCAGATAAAGAACAGATTAAAAACAACAATGTGAAAACAGATTCAAACCAATATGAAAAGACCATTTTTGTCATTTTAGGGTCATTGCAACAAGATCAAAAAGATCATTAGGTTATCTCAAAATAAACTTGGAACAGATTGTCATTTTTGTCTTAATAGAGACATTTAGTTACTGGGTCTCCATGTCTAAAGAACATTAGGTTTTTGAAGGTTGATTTGAATTTCTACTTTAGAACATCCCTAGACTCTTTGCTGCCCAAAGGCTTTTATGACATGAGTATCTGGGATGCTGAGAGCCAGCTCGATCTAGTGGTTAAGGCATAAGGCTAGAAAGCAGAAGACCATGAGATCTAGTCCTGCCTTAACCATGAAATCCAGCAGAGTAGCCTTGGGCCAGTCACTCTCTCAACCCAATTCACCTTACAGATTGTTGTAAGGGAAACAGGAGAAGGAAGATGTGTTGGATATGTTCGCTGCCTTGAGTTATTTGTAAAAATAATACAGTCAATCAGCAATCAACCAATGTTCTGCAAATTTCCCCAAACAGGAACAGCTTCAGAAAATAATTCCACCTACCTCCTTCTTATCTTTGTTTTTGTCTATTTCCTTCTTGAGAATCTCTACCCTCTTGAAAGACTCCTTGCTGTCAATACTGTAAACCAGCACAAATCCATCGGTGCAAGAGAAGCAATGCTTGGGCAACTCCAAGCATGGGGAAGCTCCATCCCTCAAGCCTCGGGTGTCATAGAAACGCACCTGTTCACGCATATTCCGGTCTGTTTCAATGGAACCCACATAAATGTCTTCCTGGGTTTCAATCATTTCTGAACCTGCAGAGAGTCAATCAGATAAAATCTAAGAATCTCTACCAAAAAAAACCCTGAAAAACCTCCTAGAAAAACCTACACAGTTATCTAGAATAACTTCTGCTAACTGCACTTGCTAAATGTTTAATTATTGTTCTTAAGTTACTATAAGTTCAGCAAGAATATGGGGGGGGGGGTGAGTGTGAATAACTGGGAGGTACCAGATGAAAAGTAAGTTTGACAGGGGCGCAATGTGATGGGCAACAGTGTAAGAGTGATTCAACCATGAGTTAGCATGACCACATTAGCTTATCACCATGGACAAACCCAGGGCATACAATTAATTTCTAGTTCAAGGTTAATTCACAGGAGCAACAAGTAAATACTCTGTATATCCTCTGATTGTATGTGCATGTCAACAAACAGAAGCAATTGTAAAATGATATTTTCATGCTTTGCCTCAATACCTTTTCCTTAAAGTGTCATTATTTTACCACATCTGTACCCATATGAATGAAAAATAAATTGGATATAAATAAATTGAATTTGTATATTACTTTGAGCCATGGTGTACATTGAACATACTTTATTACGCAAACTTACATGTTAATCATAATTCAACAGGCAACAGATTTAACTCATATAGGTAGTCCTCAACTTACAACAGTTCATTTAGTGACCATTCGAAATTACAAGTGCACAGAAAAAAGTGACTTATGACTGGTTTTCATTTACGACCATGGTCATGTGATCAAAATTCATATACTTGGCAACCAACTCATGATGGTTGTAGTGTCCCAGAGTTATGTGATCACATTTTGCAATGCAACCATTCTGACAAATCAATGGAGAAGCCAGATTCACTTAACAATCGGGTTTCTAACTTAACAACTGTAAAGATGCACATAACAACTGCAGTAAGAAAAGATGTAAAATGGGGCAAAATTCATTTAACAATTAGCAACAGAAATTTTGGGCTGAATGGTGATTGTGGTAGTCAAGGACTTCCAGTACATACTAATAACAAAATAACTCTATTTAATGTTCACATGTTGTACTAAGCCTTATTATGATGTATTTCGTTTAGGTTTAGTATGCCCAAATCCATCAATCTCCTTTGTTAGTCCTGGTTTATTAGTAGTATAGTTATTCAAGGAAAATTCCTAAGCAGATCATGACTTAGCAGCCAATGAAACAGAAAAGCCTAAAATAGCAAAGAAATGAAGATTTCCTAGTTAATGCCAACACTCACCAACAATATGATTCCCATACAGAAGCTGTTCCAGGATCGAAGTCTTCCCAACTGATGCTTGCCCACATACTACCACTTTGCAACTCTTCCCCATTATCTGGAAGATACAAAGAGAAAAAAACCAAGAAGGATATACTGAGGATGAGTGGTGAAAACATGCCTAAACATATGCAAATACCAGTATTGCTCAAGGCTGGCTTTGGCTATCCTACAAAATATAATAGCCAGACTATTTTAATCGGAGGTGCTGGTACACTGATAAAAGACATGAGCAGAACTTCATAGGGCCTTAAAGTGGCAAATGCCTGGGCAGAGTCAAGAAGATGAAGAACAATTAATACATCTGTTATTTGTAAGAAATAGAAAGCATTTCTTAAGGCCTGATAATTTGATGTTTACAAATAGAATTGAATTTTTTCCTGTTATGATTGGCCTTGTGCTATTTACATATATATTGACCTCAAGGTTCCTATTTGACAAAATAAGAACATAAATGAATTTGCTCAGATCTTGGTGTAATTCTTTTCTCCACAGTGATTCTCTGCATAAGACTTTCTGATCTGTAGTAACTCATGTATTTAAATATACTCATTTGCCATATGGTCTGCAGTAATAATTTGCCTTAATTTTAGATTTGACTTTTATTTGGTAAATTTTGAATTCCAGTGAAATCAAGTCAATTTTTATTCACTCAAAGACCAGCAAATAAACTCGAGTCACAATTAAGATAAAGAAAAAATATTATTGTAAAAATATGTAAAAAGGATTAGAGTTAATATGGTGTATAGTGCAGACTGTAGAATAAGAACTTGGCTTGGGTTTCCAGTCAAAACAAAGTAAAGCCCATACATTCTAGGAGACAGAATCAAGGCAATCTGTTTCTTACACTTCATCTCTAATTTTACTCTTTAGTCTTTTACTTTTAGCCTCTTTACATGTTGTTTTTCTACCCTGCCTGTTTGGTGTCTCTGAATTCCAAAGAGTTCTTGAATCAAACAGGGTTTGCTGATGCTTTTAAAGTTTCAGAGAGAACCTTTCTGTCCCTTCAGTTTTTTCCTGGCATAATCATGATTATCTTGGAGGAGACACTAACATCTTTCCCTCCTAATCATACCCACATTAATAAGGAGAGAATAGAAAAGCAGCTGAGACTTAGTAGCAGTAGCATTGAGCAATTTTAGGGATGGGTAGGATGGACATTTCCTTTTGTTTCCTCGTGTTTGTCATTTTAGGCCAAAAACAAGTCCATTCACTTTTCCTACGTAATTTTTAAGCCATTCATATAACGAGGCACATCTAAAAAGTGGGTGCTTTTTACAGTTAGCTATGTTAGTTTTAGAAAAGCTACTTGTCTGAAAAGTTAGCCAAAGAAAAGAATAAATGAAGAATAAAAATAACATGTAAGCAGTTTCCAATATACATTTCTTTTCATCTACAGCTAACATTAAAATTGTAAACCAAAATAAGTTTAAAAACTGAATGAAAAATGAAGGTTTCAGGATCCAATCTGGATTGGTCACCAGTGCCAGACAGACTCAGATTGGATCTTGCAACATTATCCTGGGATATGTATATTCGCCTTCATTCATAAGGGGTTTCCTCTGAAAATGCAGTATCCTATCTAATCATCAATCTGAATATGTATCCCGTATTATCTGCCTACTCTGAATATTTTTATGAGGGGTCCTTGATACTCTCTGAGCTTGGTTGCTTTCTTGTAGAAGTTTCATTACCCAAATTAGATAACATCATCATTTTCATGCTAGCCAGAAAATAAGTTCAGAGAGCATCAAGGAACCCCTCATTTCAGCCCTGAGCTACAAATATTATCTTTTATTGGAATATTTTATGTCTCTGACAACCACAATGGAACAGGAAAGCCACAGTATCTCCAAGTAATATTCTTGGGGGGAGGAGGGGGGGAGAGTGAAATCTGTGTTTATCAGTTGGTATTGCTTCTTTGCCATATTTTAGCTATTATATTGTCATGCTGCCCATCTCCCCTGTACGGTAATTCTTATTTTCTACATAATTATGTACATGAATGTATTATATAACTAAAGTTACATGTTTATAAATGCAAAAATAATTTTTAGTCTCTTCATATTTTCTACACATTAACCAAGATTTATCCCCACTACAAACATAAAAATAGAGAAATACCATACTGCAATGGCAAAAGGCAAAATTGCTGTTTCTTACATTTCATGAACTTTGACTCTTTTATTTGCGCATTAATGATCTGTCAAACAGGCCTGCCTGACATCTGATAAAAGCCAAGTTATCAAAAGCCAATGTATTCAATTATCAATTAATCTTCAAGGCACTGCTAGCTTCTGGTAGGTTAGATAATACTCTAATTAAACAGCTGGTTACTACTCCTTAGAGAGGGGATGGGGCTCATTTGCAAATCTATCGAAGATGAAATTAATTACCGATACAATTAGCAAACCCACACAATCACTATTGCACATCTAAAAGTCTGCAATTTTTCTGAAAACTCGATTAAAAAATACAAAAACAAAGAACAGCCAATCCAAGACAACTTACCTTCCCTACCTTGCTCTTGATGTTTCCCTGCCGTCTCCAGCAAGGAAAGGAACTAAGGACCAACAACTCTGCATGACTGAGAGAAAAGACATATGTGGGACCTTCAGCCCACAGCTCCATCTAGAGCACTGTCTACAGTGTAATTTACTCTCTCTTGCGATCCAGTTAAGATATTTAGAAAAAGGTAACAGCACCGTGTTGCAGTCAAACACAGCAGAATGGAAATAGAAAACTGAGCTCAGCAATCTTGCCTATAATCCAGCCGGGGTTATTTTTCATTTTAAATTTGATGAAAATTATACAATCAAGCAGAGGACCATCGATCTTTAAACAAAACTGAGGAAATGGTGAATTGAAAGTAATAAAGCACTACCCCTTTTCCCTCCCTATCTCTGTTCACATATTTACACTTAAAAGCAAATTGTGTTTGGCAAGAATGCTGGTAGCAGAAAAATGAGAAATTAAAATATCCTTACAGCAGAAATGAAATGAGAATAAATACATGTGGGGTATTTTGAGTGTACATATGATGCCAAAAAATGTTAAGGATTAGATAGATACCTGATTGATGCAATGACTGTGTTCACGAGGCCTTCTTGACTAATTGATCTACGGTTTATGGATTTAACTCAAATTTTCTGGGTTTCACATAATATGAACAATATATCTAATACACAAGTTGGCTTTACAGAACACATTAGGTTGAAACATAATTGATTATTTTTCTTATCGTGCTCATGCAATCAGAAGAATGAATTCTTTGATATATAAAAAATATATCAATGTAGGAAATTTTTATCTATTGCTAGATACCTAACAAAAGATTCCTTCTCCAGTCATGTTAGCTCAGGAATTCTGGAAGTCCACAAGTCTTAAACATGCTAAGTTTGAAGACCCTTATATGCTGTATTGCCTTTAAAAAAAAAACTCTTAAAGAATTCTTTCAAACCGCATTTTCCATTTTTATAGCAGAAGAAACCTGCCTATCTATAGAGAGAGCTTATTCCTAACCAAATATAAAAATATTCCGAAACACTGAAGCCCAGTGCTATCAAAAAGAGATCTGAAAATAGATCAGTCCCGACTTCCAGGTTTTTTTTCTGTATATTTTGGCCTGAAGATAAATGATTATTTCCAGTTCCTGTTTGTCCAATTCCGAAGCAAAAAAAAAATCCCCCCCTTGGAGGACTCTACCGAGTCCTCTCCTCACTCGCCTCCCAACCGGAAGTGGCCTATGTAACTCTGACTCTTTTGTCTCCGGATATAGAAGGAGGAACTTCCGCCTCGTTCCTTTTTACTTTCTTTCGTTCTCTCTCCCCGGCTCGCCGGCCGTTGATTGCAGCAACAAGGAATCAAGATGGCGACGGCGGGCGGAGATTGCGACGTGATTATGGCGCCCGCGGCACCCCCAGCGGTAGCTTCACATTCCGCGATGCCGCTGATGTTGAGCGAGGAGGACGAGGGGACGCGCAGGTAAGATCTCCGCCACCGATTCCATCCCTGGAAAGGAGTTTTTTGCCCCCGCGGAGAGGAGGGGCCGCTTCGAAGCCGGGGGGAGGCGGGAGGACAGGAGGCGGAGCCTGCTTCCGTGCCGTGGGGGTGGGGGAGAAATAGGGCTTTTAGGAAAGTAGTTTGGAAGGCGATTTGTTATCGTTGTCATTTGTCAGCTCTTCCTCCAAAGGATCACGGAAGAGAAAATTCAAGATTAAGCCAGTTAATGACGGGCAGTTAGGAGAAGCTCTCTCACTGAGGGACAATGTATGTCTAAAATCCAGCATGCTGAGGAATAAATCATGCAGTTCCTGCTGTAACATGGGCTGTTTAAGAGACGAATTGCTGGATGAAAAAGACCTACAGTCAGATCAATATTTACATTTAACTGTGACTTTCCCAGGTTCAAGTATAACAGGATTCAAGCTGGAGATTAGCCATCCTACTGCATGTCTCTCTGTGTGTGTAGTTGCAGGCTTACTGCTGAATTCCATTATTCCTGTAATTCAGTTCCAATATCCAGCAATTCAGTTATATTATAGCTCTCCAAGTAGTTTCCCACAGGGGTTTATTACAAGAACCCTACACACACACATTCTGAAGAGGAACCAGAAATACATAAGTTTGGGTAATGTTTTTACTCTATTTTATGAACAACTTAGTTTGACCATTATTGTACAGTTGGTCTCTTTGTTTCAAATATTGTGCACAATACATGACTTGGGATATGATTTGGTATATAAACAGTGATTTTTCTTTTATCTCAGCATTTCAAGAATATCCCACTAAATAAACATGTTCATTATGGTAGCAGTTGTTCTTGCCATGGAAAGCTTTTAAGTAGAGAAATGCCACAGTAGTCAATGAGACATTTAATAATCTGTACATTTTGTGTTAAATCTTATTTGGGAAAAACATTTTGAATTTTGTTTTGGGTTCTCATGGGGCAGTGACTTTTCTCATTTTGATTCATAACATTCGTAATCACTGCATAATAGTGTAGGCGCTTGCCTGTGAAAATGAATGCAGTCTTTAAAAAATAATTCTGGGTTGGGTCTCACTTGGTTTATAGCAAGTGACTCCTCTTGTGAGAAAAATCATAGATAATAGAGGAATCTCTAGCAAAACGTAGTAGCTAATCTGGAAGTTTGTAGTGTCAGGCTTTGGCTGGTTAGGCAAACATAAAGAAAAGGTGAAGAAAAATGAATCTGTTGGCTATCATTAATTACAAAATTAGATGTATGATTTGAAAATAATTCCTGTTTCTCCTGTTATTCAAAGGATCACACCTTATTTCAGATTTCTCGTCTGCCTTACAGCTAAAGGTACCTAATAGTAAACGCTTATTATACTTATATATAGAAACTGTGACATATATAGTTGGGTTGTAACACATGTACTCTTGGGACATTGGATGATAGCCAACACTTGTAATTGGCAGTTTGCTAGGGTGCATAGTGTGGTTTATCCTCAGGGGAACCTTCTGAATTGGATAAGTGAGCTATAATTTATATTAGCAATCTTGGGTAAGGTTTAAATATGAGTCTTCCAGCTAAATATTCCATAATAGAATTCAAAGAGTCACGGTAAATTCATTAATTGTGATGGTTATAAAAATCTAAGCATCATATTTTCCAGAAGATAAGTCCTACTTGAAAAATAAGCCTAGTGAAGGGGTGGAGGTGGCCAGCACAGGAGGCAGTGAGGGAGCATTGGCCGATGGTGTCTGTTAGCAGCTGCAGCCCATCCAGTGCAGATGAGTTGATTTCCTGTCCAAGCAGCAGATGGAAGCAGAGGTGCAGGGGGTGGGGGTGGCAATCCGGATGTTAAAAGCTTTGAATAATAAAATTGAGAAATATACTTTTATATAATCACATGATTGGTCTGGAGTTATTGTTTCTGGTGACCTATTCATATGATACATTCGGCTGGTTTAAATTATGACACTAGGAAAGTTTGGTAAATGGAGCAAAAAATAAAACTGTTTCTGTTCCCTGGTCAGCTTTGCTGTTTTGCTCAACAAATTGGCGTTTGATTACTTTTTTTTCCTAATTGTAATGGAAATTATATTGTAGAGAGCCCCAAGGGAAAATAGGGGTTCTCTAGGCATTCTCTGTACTTTGGTTCTCTCTTTTTACCCCTTATCCTACAACTACAAGGAAAAATAAAAAGGGCAAAAACCAGGTTGGTGTAGGTATGATAGTTATCATAATTTTTATTCATAAAAATCTCACTCTTGCTAAAACAAAGTGGGAAATTTACAAAAAAGAACACTGACTTGGTTATTTCATCTGGTGCAGAGGTTTTCCTTCATAGCTGGGGAATAGAATTGTTTTCTAGCATTTTTTGCTGTGATCATTAAGTGAGTATACAGGTAGTCCTCAACTTACAATGTTCATTTAGTGACTGTTCAAAGTTACAATGGCACTGGAAAAAGTAACTTATGACCATTTTTTAGTTACGCTCTTTGCAGCATCCCCATGATCATGTGATCAAAATTCAGACGCTTGGCAACTGGTTCATACTTTTGACAGTTGCAGTGTCTCGGGGTGATATGATCATTTTTTACAATCTTCTGACAAGCAAAGTCAATAGGGAAGCCAGATCCACTTAACAACTATATTATTAATTTAACAACTGCAATGATTCACTTAAGAACTGTGGCAAGAATGTTTATAAAATGGGGAAAAATTCATTTAACAAATGGCTCATTTAACGGACTTCTGGCTGACATCGCGGCGCTATTGGATGTGAGGAGCGGGTCTCCGCACTCCCATACTGAGTTCTCACTGTTGGAGGGCTCCGAAATAAGCTAAAGCTACCTATAGAAGTGGTGAAGAAAAGAGGGGTGCCCTGCAGGCCGCAGTGAGCAGCAACTTTCCTGCTGGACTCAGGGCTTCTTCCCTCTCGTCCACCACGAAGATGGGGCAACTGAGGCAACAAAGAAATGTGCAGGAGCTGTGTAGATGAACAGTGATTGGAGCTGGGTGAGAATATTCTTTTTTATTTAGATCCTAATTTAATTTTAAAGAAAAAAAGAAAGAAGAAAATCCAGGAAAAGATATTCTTAGAACTATTTCTCAAAGCAGTGAACAACCATAGAGAGAAAAATCCTGAACCTGAAAGAAAGGAACTAAGGGGAGAAAAGCTAAAGACCATTTAAAACATAGAAAATTGAATTTTTAAATTGGGAAGGCATTGTTTTGAAAAGGCATTATAAAATGCTGGAACTATCTACTTGAATCTACTTGACTTTGTTTCATAAATTGAACTAAATTTGGATTAATTAAATCTATAAGTCTTGAAACTACACTGGAACCTAAGCTGAGGGCGCCATCTAATAGATCCCTACAAGCTTAGAAAAATTTATGTGAAAAGAAATAAACAATTCATCTGGAGGACTATGGTGATACTGTTCTATAATTATCTACTTTTGTGATTACTGGAGACTATTGTGAGAATAAGGAAGACTCTATTGTGAGAATAAGGAAGTAATGTAAAGTGACTTTTGAGTTGCAGAAGCTGCCTGGACTATTTAAATGGAACTGATTAATAAACCTGAGATGTAAAGAACTATGATTATTGAACTTTCTGAGGAGCAACATTGGACTGGAATGTATTGTTTTTGGACTTGAGTAAGAGCGGGACTTATTGAATTAAAACAAGATGGTCCATCAGGGGAAAATGAGTGAGATTTGAGAAATGGTGTTTATGTTTCAAAGCATTAGGGGTACTATGACAAGGAATCACAGAGATATTTACAAAAAAAAAACCTAATGCAAGGCATAAATGGGAAAATAGAAAATATGCTCCAACTGATATTGAATGAAGATCAAAGAGTCCAGGAAAGAGAGGAAATAGCAGAAAGAATGGGAAAAAAGATGGAACAGACAAACTATCAAACAAAGCAAGAAGATGAGAATGAGAAGACATAAAGAAAATAATGACATGAAATAAACCAAGGGAAAAGTACTTTAAGAAATTTTAAAATGGAATCGGATAATCTGGAAGTTATTTTTGAAAGAGAGATAGGGGTTTGGGTGGATACTCTGGAGACCTGGCAGCTTAGGAAGATAGAGATGGGAGAAATATTCAGTCTGAATGGTGAAGACACAGATGCTGATAGAGACAAAGATCCAAGAGAGGAGTATGGGAGGCAAGTCAAAGAAATAAGAATTGAAGTACTAAAATAATCAAGCGATGATGTAGTTGTGCTTTCGGCAGAATCTCATCTGCCATCATCAGGCTTCTGTATTGTGTTCGTCTTTGAGTCAGACTATCACAGCCGTTTCAGTTTTAAATTTGGGGCAGCATACTGCTGTGCCAGAATGGTTTTTTCTTCATCCTGATTGGTTGGGAGTCTTGGTCTGTGTTTATTAGTCTTGGAGTTTGCTGTGTTCTACTTGATTGGTGTTTTTAATATCTTCTGTCTGTTTTGTGGCTCTTTTTGTGTCTTGATTGGCTGGCAACGTTGTGTTCCTTTATTGGAGGCCTTTAGTGCAGCTTGGCTCTGGGTAAACGGACGGCTATCATTTGTTAGGAAGTTAGGTTTCATCTGGGTGCCTGGTTGGGGATTTTTTTGTTAGTGAGTACAGGCTTCCAAATAATTGACAGTCTGGTGGAATCATCTCTTCTATTCATGCTGTCAGGTCTTTTTTCAATCTCAGTGGCTTCTCTGATGATTCTGTGGCTGGGGTTTTCTATAGTGGCTGGAAAACCAAGGCATATAGGAAGTACCCTGTGCATCATGCCCGGCCATATACATTGGACAGACTAATAGAAGAATAAGTACCCACCTGGATGAACACAAAAATGCAGTAAAAAAGCTGGAACACATTTCCTCACTAGTCCAACACATGAAAACCACAGGTCATAGCATCAACTTCAATGGCACCAAAACCCTAGCCACTATAGAAAACCCCAGCCATAGAATCATCAGAGAAGTCATTGAGATTGAAAAAAGACCTGAAAGCATGAATAGA